AATTAATTTGTTCATTACCGTTACTCATTCACTCCTCTCTTTTTCTCCCTTGACCTTCGCTTCGTTAACTATTTTGTGCTTTCATTTTTTTATTACTCTCATGTCCTGGTCGAATAGAGAGTACATACTACGAATCGTTTTATAATTTTCTGGGTTCTTTTTCTCAAGCTTTCTTCATAGTAATTCCCATTTGTTCATCTCGTCTCTTTACTCCATCTATACCCTCTTGGTTTAAATGCCCACACTTGACCGGCTTGCTAATGAACTATTGTTCAAAATCTTTACGTATTTACATCGGCCGGCCGCCTTTTCTTTAACTTGTAGAACGCTTCATTGTGTCACAAAGGACCCTCATGCAAGGGCCGCCTATTTCCTTCGTAAATATGGTCCTCGGTTAGCAATCTTTTATGCTATACGAAATCATGCTAAAATTGTCACTAAAGAAACTGCTGAAGCAATGATCTCTTCGGGTGCTATCGTATCTCGAAATTTGGCCCAACGTCTTATAAAAGATTATCTAGAAAGACAACCCAGCGAATATTTTCGTTGCTGTTGGACTAGTAAATTAACCTTCGGTACTTACTTGGTATTCCTTCAACGTGCTTACACATTATACGGCGATAATTTATGGGCGAAAGACGCAATGGATGACTGGGAACAATTTCGCATCTGTGTCTCATTACAATCTGGCTTGGACATTGATAGTGTAGATAGCAATATGTTAAATACCACTGCAACTCATGATACTAACAGGGAATATATTCGTGATTTGGTTGAGAAATATCATGTGGTACCTTTACCTCTTCAGTATTGTTTCGTTAATATTTCTGATACTTTTGTTACTATAGCTCGTATTGGTGATAGCCAACTTTTAGATATGGCGTTGAACGATCTGACTCATTTTGATCAGTATGAATTCTCAAACATCCTTCCTACTATCATCGAAAAATTGATTTATAACAAACCAACTCCTACTCATTTAAAGAAAGCTTTGATGAACATTTTCAGTTTCAACTATCCGGTTCTAGAACAACTAGCTTTGGAATTGATTAGAAATTGTGGATTATATAAAATTCCTAATGTTATAATTGAAACTTTAATTGAAAAAAAAGATGATCTACCTTTCGATCTCAATGCCGTTGTTGTGCACTCCATTAATGATAAATTTCATTCTATATGCTCATATAATGGTGCTCCTGATAATATTGAATCTCTTTGGCATTATTTCCCTGAATTTCGATCCAAAGTGAGAGAAAATCTTAATACTTTATTTGCGGATTCAAGAATGGGCGGTGTTATATGTAGCAAAAATGATGCTAGTTATTATGGTTATGGTGTAGGTTGTGTTTGTGTAGAATTCATTCTTTCAACTTTCGGTCCCAAAGATATAATCACCGAAAAATGTTTCAATGCTATCATAAGGGATGTTTGCGAAAAGAATTTAAAAATGCAGGCTAATCGTAATACATTACTTAACAAGCTCAAACGTAACGATAGTGTTGGATTTACGCAATTCCATGGTTCTCCACAATATTTTGCACAATATGTAGAGGCTGGTGTGAGGATCAAACCTGAACATCTAAAAATGGTATCCGAAAAGGGTATGAATCGTAAATGGTTTCTCAAAGGACTTTTTGAGGCTATGGAAAATTCTTTAAAGAGTGATCAAGTAAGGACACTGCCGATAGATTCTACATCAAATGGTGACAATAATGTTTCGATTGACAAGGCCACATTATGGAAAAATGTTGTTAAAGAAGTCTTAAGTCACGAACGTGAAAAATATTACGGTTCGAGCAGAAGATGGTTAAGAAAAGGTCGCTTCTATCGTATGCTGGATGAATTTTATGGTAAAAGTTTTGAACATTCTTAACTTCTCTTGACAAATAAAAGAAAAAAAAAAAGAAAGTACAAAATAGTTAACGAAGCGAAGGTCAAGGGAGAAAAAGAGAGGAGTGAATGAGTAACGGTAATGAACAAATTAATT